TGCTAATTAAGGCTTATCAACCCGTGTTGTGTGCACAGAAACTATTGAGACAATCAATTAGATTACCGTGGTCTCGATTTTGACATTTTGATTAGTGTGCCAATTTTCCCCTCTAGATTACTATGTTTTCCGTTTGTATTGTATTTGCGACTGATGAGAACAATCGAAATGTTGACATATCGCAACTTATGTCTTCTCACTGCTCTGACGAAATTTGTGTGTCCCAAACTTGAAACGCTCTTCCAACTCACGTTCATTTTGCCCTCACATTAACACTTTTCAGTAAACTACTTGACATTACGTGACATTCCGTTACAATCGGTAGACGAAATAACGCAATCCAAACAGTGCGCTCCACAGTCCTCTCCGTAACGTAGCGGTGAGGAGAACAGCATATTTGTTCATGTGAATAATTTGTTGAGTCATCTTAGACCGGCATTTCGCTTTTCCCCGTCATTTTAAACCTTGATTTACCGCTCCTCATTCCGGTCATCTCACCGGACGTGTCAAGCTTTCGCTTTTTCCCCCTTTATATATTATCGTTCTTTGTTCTTTGCACTCCTCATCCCGAGAATGACATGTCCATTACTACAGAGCTCAGTTCGTTGTTACTTATTAGTCAGTCGATAGCCTCGGTTTCCTCTGCGAGGTGATGTAATCCTGTTGTGTGACCTTAACCTCAGTTTACCTATCTGGGTGGAGCGAAATTTGAATTTGGGTAAGTTGCGTCAATTATTCAGAGTAGCACCTCTACGGCTTTCTTTAATATCGGAGAACAGCCCGACCCACTTTCAGAGTAGCTGAAACATTTGTGCCAGTCATCTTCTGGAGCTGAGCCAGCGATTTCAGTAGATGCAGGCTATTAGGTGGATTAATGATTGCGATTGCTGTATCAGCACTGCTGTGCTATATATGCATGGCTGTTTTTTTTATTCACATTCAATTTGTTAAGAATGTTGATTACTGATTGCAGTTGTGCTGAAACTTTTGGGAAATTTTACGCAATTTAGTAAGTCTAGTAATTAGTAACGACCATGGTGGCAAATCTCACGAGTTTTAGGTTCGAAAATTTTAACAACGACATACTTAGCTGGTAGTTGCAACCGTAGCTATTCGGAAGCTTTCCTTAGCGGTTCCTTCTGCTTTCCTCACATACAGCCTCTCAGGAAATGTGAGCCTACTCTACTCCTATTTGTTCCCGCTGCACCACCGCACTCATTTTTGGTGTCGATTCCTGATATCCTCTGGATGCGTTGTTTTGCCACTCGAAAGATATATTTCGGGTTGAATTCAGTCGTCGGGATTATTCCTGGAAAGTGTACCGAAACAACAGAACGCTCAAGGTCCGTTATGCCTTCATATGCAAACCGGCTAAACACCATCACGTTTTAATTTTGGACTGTGTTACCAGTCATATTCGTTGTTCAATGGCTGCTGTCGTTGCCTGACAGTCGTCGAGCGTAGCAGACAATCATGAGTGACCTGTGATTGGTTCTGAGTACAAGTACTTCAACCTGTGTGTTGCCTAACGAAGAATCATTCCAAGGGTCAACTTCAGTAGTGTTTCGCAACCCCTAAAATACATCATATTCCACACACCGATACTCTCTCTCTAGGTCTGATCAACGCTATGCTTTAAAGCTGAAGTTCGTTACCTGAACTAGTTGGTTAGCGACAGCAAACTTCCGCTCTCCTCCCCGGTATAGAGAAGAACGATTAGTCTGCGCAGTCTCGTGATGTTCATTGTTAAAGCTTCCAGTAAACGTAGTTACTTCTTTTGTAGACTTCGGACAAGGCGTCTTATGCGTGCTAGTGTTGCAGTGGACGATACTGCGCATTCCCCCCACCCATTCAAACACCACAGTTAAAAGCGCGGCAACTACAAGAAAGGACATAACATGCAAGCTCCATCAATAAGCATGGAACATATCGCTGGTCCCAAAAAGAATAGTGGAAGTGCCGATACTGACCCTATTGTGGCTGCCTTTCAGTGTGAGCTCCAACCCCCAGGGGTTCATCACCGTGCTCTCATCCGTGTACCTTCGAAGTTACAGGTTCATACGGCTAACAACGCATGGAATAACGTCGGCATGCTAAAACTGCCTCTTACAGCTATGGGACTTACAATCCCCTCCGTGGATTGTTGCATTTTCCGTGATATCGCCTTCATCAGGCAGAAAGAACACTGGCTGTCTGGCCGATGAGGCTAAGATAAGTCTTTATGAATGGCTTGGGTCAGAAGAAATCCCACTGAACCGCACATACTACAGTCCAACGAATTTCTTTGTATCCCCTGGATCATTTGGGGGTTAACACAGTCACTGTGTAAGAACTCGTGATATAGGCGGGATTATTTATTGTCTCGACATAGCATCCTTTCCGACAAAAGAGACATTCACTCATCTTCGCTATCTTCGCTGTGCGGTGTGCATTGCTTGTGCGTTCATTCCTCACGCGCATGTAACTGCAGTTCTAAAGTATTCATTTCCTTATGGAAATTCATTACGATCTGTTGTTCGTTAGTTACAGTTTCGCATCCTGGCCTTTCCACACTACTGATAACTGGTGCAGTAGCGTCTATCTTTAGTCCACCCCAGCTGTATCGAAAGCTCGCTTAAGTATCTCAGGATGGCTCCGATCGCTGCATAAAATTCAAGTACCGCTGTGTTCACGTCCTGCACCATATGCAGCTATGCAAACGGACGACGAGAAACTGCCGCATTTGGCGCAGACAGATATCACTGACCCAGTGAAATGCACATGCGTTGCTCTTGGTGTCTCACTGGAAAATGATTCAGGAATTGCGCGTCTGTGCTGATTTCTCGGCATTCCACAAAGTGTGAGAACGTCACTGATTTTGTTACTGTGTCATTAACCAATTGGTTTTGCTGGTATTTGTGTAGTTGACCCCAAAGATTCAATCTCCGAGGTTACGATTACATTCAACCCCACGCGACTCTTTGGTCGGTCTTGCGTTATTTAAATTCATGATACTCCTAACCAAACGTAGTGTTGTCAAGTGCACTATCAATCTGTTTGTGACCAAAACTGTACGAATCTTGGTCTGGAATACTTTTCTAAGGCATTGAGTCACTTGTTTTTTCTCCCTGTGTCAAATCTATATGATATAATTTCGTTATTTATGCTGGAATGTTGCAGTTTCGATAAAACTATTGATGCTTTGTTGTCACTGATGAATATTCCAAAACCATAACCACTATGCCGCAATCCTGCGTTCGTACGCTTTCTGCGCAGCGCGATCGCGATGCCAAGTTTCTACAAGTTATAACAATATTCACTTTGATTACTTGTCCGGTGCATCAATTCCTACGTGCTTTTTACTCATAGTCCTCAGTACCGATGTCATATGTCACAATTTATGCTCTTCTGGCAGCACTGTAGAGTATCGATGAATTACTCTACTTTTTCATGTCTAGGAATTCTGACACGCTGTAGATTCCGCTATAGACATAAAATAAATATTTTTTCAAGTTGGTTCATCGCAGTTAGATTCCAAGTCGCATAGGTAAGGTGCCAATCCGGAAAAGCATCAGACGCGCGTTTCGCCCTATTTGGGCTCGTCAGTGGTGCGCATTCATCGGTCCCCTACTGGGGATCGAACTCCTGACCGCTAGAGGCTAACGCCAACTAGCTAGCAGCTTATGCCACTAAGCCATAGGGGAAGACAGCCGACCACTACAAATTGAAATCTAACTGCGATATAGCCCGAGCCACCCTCCACTGCCGTGTAGGTTATTGCCCGTGCAGAGGACAGTGGTTGGCCGTCACGGTCAGGTCTTCGCTTGTCAGCGCCGAGAATCCACATGGCAATTTTGAATACTGGTAGGGCTTAGATTTTTAACCAGTAATGAGTAGACGGATTTGGGTATGATTCGAGTTAGTTCACGGCGCTGGCAAGGGATGACCTGACCGTGACGGCCATCCACTGTCCTCTGCACGGGCAATAACCTGCACGGCAGTGGAGGGTGGCTCGGGCTATATCGCAGTTAGGTTTCAATTTGTAATAGTCGGCTGTCTTCCCCTATGGCTCAGTGGCATAAGCTGCTAGCTAGTTGGCATTAGCCTCTAGCGGTCATGAGTTTGATCCCCAGTAGGGGACCGATAAATGAGCACCACTGACGAGCCTCAATAGGGCGAAACGCACGTCTGATGCTTTTCCGGATTGGTAGCTTACTTATGCGGCTTGGAATCTAATTGCGATGAATCAACTCGAATCATACCCAAATCCGTCTACGCATTACCAGTTAAATATATTTTCAGTTAACTTCCCTGGCGACCAGTTCCCGACTCCTTTCATTTGGTACAACTCTGGACATTTGTGACCCGTTGGAACCATAATCCTTCACATGAGGGAAACTTTTTCCTGCTTTTGTTCTTCTCTGGCCTAGGACGTAGTGGGCACTTGGATGGTTCGAGACACGGAGCAAATCATGAGTCTTTTATATCTACACTGCCCTGCATTCGTTTCACATACATCCCTCTCCTTGGGTCGAAAGCCATGTTTCCTTTGCCGTAAATTCCGCTCTCACATTCCAACGTTCACACAAGGGGATAGGCCGCTGTCGCTTCATGTTGTCCCCATTCCCGCTCCCTAGTTATTTCTCGGCATGATCACCCGACAGGGAATTTTGCTGCGAATACATCTGCACAGGGAGTGAGGTTAGGGACAGTGAAATACATTGCGGCATCATGACCGAGTAGTTGTGGTTTGGTATTGCAAACACTCACCGGAGCACCAGGTTTAGGCGTATATGGAGCTTTATTGCCTAACCCCCGTCAACTGTTCGGAGTATAGGGTCTGTACATGGTAACAGTCAACCAAGCGATGGTTCGTACCTGCAAGCCTGCACTGAGCAGCACCATGATTTGTGCGCTGTTGAGTCTTCCAACCGACCTATCTACACCACATTACTTCATTTCCCAACCGCCAAACCCCTTTGTTTACAACTATGCATAATTTGTCTCCCTTATTTTCTTAGATCCTAATTAACTCTTCCAAGCGATTGCACGATGGGATGCTTCGTGCATGTTTGGCCACCAGACTGAAGTTTTTTGAGGTCAACACATCAGGCGAGTACATTTTTTTCGTTTATGTCTTATGTGTATGTACTATCTGCGTGCGAACAGTGGCTTTACGAGTGGTTTACATAAGTATCGGTTGTCAATCTCATCCCATCTTGTCATCGACAATCTGTCCTCTCTTGATATCAGGCGGTAATTCCTAACAACAGTTGTGGAAACATTCGTACAACTCTACTGGGATCTTTTTTTTGTGTTTGCCTGCTCCTGATTCAGTTCCAGTTTCACGCGGCTTCTTGAAGTAAACATGGCCAGCGCTGGGAACCGCATACGTGATTTCTGGCGTACCGCCTCTCGTGTATACCGGTAGCCGATCCCATGTGTTAGGATCTTCGATGCTTAACGTTTCATTCCCAGTTCCCTCGAGTGCATAGTGGAAAAGGTTATTTGTGCTACTGACGCGAAATCCTCTTAAAAGTATTATTCCTGAATGGGGATTACTCGGCATAATCTGTGTTTACGGTAGTTGCCGATATACGTCTTATAAACTTCATCTGCTGCAATTGAGCTATGACCTAAAAAATTAGTTCTGGTCACTCAAGACATGGGTCGCAAAACACTACACCCTGTAACTTGTACGAGACCAGCGCTGCTTAATTTTTGAGAGACTGTTATGCAAACCATTCTAGCCGCAGGCAATCGTTATCCTACACAGCAAACACACCATCAAACCAAATTCTTCCTGTGCTTACATTGCAACATTCAACCATTCATTCTTTCTCCGACGGCATAACTGATCATTTTTGGTTTCTGGAGGGGTAACTGGGTTTCGCGAAACAAGCGGAACTTTAAGTTACATTGCACTGGATACCAACCGGGTCATGTTTGTTCATCTGAGTGGCAAGCACTTGCCGGGTGTTACCACGGTTCTGTTTTTATCAGTTTACCATGCACCTTCGTCTTGATTAGAAGTTTGGTGGTTCGGTCTATTAGCGTTTTGGAGTTGCAGGTTCCCTGTTTGACCTTGTGTCACAACATCGATTTCATCCGCGCGGAATTTCAGTTTTCAACTGTTACATGGACACCGAAGTGTGATAGACCCAGTTGCACTGGTTCACGTCGTTTTCAAATAACACAAACAATAAATAATCGCACAAAATGGAGGATGAAAAAGTAAACCTTGATAAAAATTTAAGGGAAGAAAATGTGTGTAAAACATTACACATGCTAGACGATTAAGGGACGAAGTAGAATACGTGAACTGGACACGGAAGCATCAATGACCTCGCGTTTGTGTCGTGTTACGATGGTACGGTCGACCGCGGATTCAGCGACAACATTGTAGGTGCGTTGGCCTATGCTGACCACTTGGTACTGCGTGCGAACGAAGAATTAGGTGTTCAGAATAAACTAACATATTTGCAGTTGGGATTCGAACTGACCAACGTGAAACTGAATGAAGCCAAGTGCCGTGCTATGACAATCAAAAACGAGACCTCCAAGCACTTTGTTCTTCTCCCTAGGGCCTACAAGCTTACTGATGTTACGATTGATTATCTGAGTGCCATGGAGGAGGTTAGGTATCTTGGTTTGCTGTTTACTTGAATGGACAGACGTAGTGTGGGGAGCACCTTGTGGCTCGGTTACATGTTGGCTGAGATAACGGATCCGCCGTTAAAACCACTTTGACGCAATACAAAAGCGCACTTTCAAGTTGTCTGGTGACTATGTCCACCGAAACATCCTAAGCGGCATGGAGCGAATGGTTCGTGGAGCAATACGGCTTCGTCCCATCAACAACACAACTATAGCCTAGTTTTATTCTACTGTGGTCCCCTTACCTCAGAGAAATAAGTTCACTCGATTGGCAAGTTCCCCAGACGTGTGGTTCAGGCAGTTAATTTGCACTGGATCATCTCTGGTTGATGATCACCTTACTTCTAATATGCCCTTGAGAGTGGGTAAGGACGCTATACATTCAAAAGCTGGACTCCCTGGTTTGTCGTGGATAGAATCGTCGAATTTCCATTCACTGCATCTGGGCCATCACGGCAACACCAGCAGCATATCACTCAAATACCCTGAGCATGTATTTACACGGCTGTATATAAGGGCTAGACCGTTGGTCGGTGATGTTCTTTTTACGATGGTCTGCGCTAGCCCTTGTGCCGCAAAAAATTCAGCCGACACGAGGTGCAACTATGTCTCTTGATACAGCGAATTCTTGGAACACGCACCGCAGCAATGCAGTATCACACATAATGCCCGTTCATCATCATCATCATCAATACATGTTAGCTGCTGGTCAGAAACACAAAAAAGATAAAATGCTAAAACTTTACACTACAAAGAGTTCAAAAAGCAAGTGTTATATAATTATATATTATACTATGCGTTCCATATGAGATCTTAATTGGAGGGGAATTTAACAGTTAGGGGAATGGACAAAGAAACTCACAACATACACGCCACTGGGGCTGCATCTTCGCCATATCAACAAGTGGGTCTAACCAAACGTGTTCATCGTCCTTGGGACCACAGCCAGACACTCGCGACGCACCAACCGACGCCAACTTCTAGGTGAGTGTTTTCATTTCTCGAATAAATCATCGCTTGACCTGTCCAAACCGCACTCCCGGCGCGCAAACAACGCACGTCGCTGGAGTCGGTTTTCTGGCATGCGCAATACGTGGCCCAGCCATCGGAGCCTGGTGCGGGATATAACGGTACTTACCGTTCACTCGCTCTTCCTGCGCCAAATACGCGACACCGAACACATTCATTACTCATGCAGTGCTCCCACCAGGTATGAGGTATACTGCGAAGGCACCGATAGTCTAGCATCTTAATGTCGGCTGATGTAATTTCGCAACTGTATAGGAGGGTTGAACGGACGGCTGCATTGTAAACTCTGCCCTTCAGAGCGAGAGTGATGTCACGCCGACGCCACAGGAAGTGCAGATTGGCAAAAACAACTCGAGCTTTCGCTATATGATTCGAGATCTCCACTTCAATCCCACGGATGTCAATGTAGCTTCCCAGACACTTAAACTTCTGCACAACTTTAACTGATCACCACCAAAGATCAGCACAGGAGTTGGCCCCTGCTAATCTTGGAGAAGGACTTTGCATCTCCAGGGAGCAAACCTTAGTCAAAAACGATTGACAGCCAGTACTACCTAATGCCATTTAATCTCTCTGTAATCGAATTATGGTCGCCTCGATAATTTGTGCGGCTGAGTGGATTTCGCACCCTTTTTCAGCCAAGTATTCTCACAGGTTTGGAGCACTGCAAGCCGGATCTGGTTTTGATTAAGGGCCAGCGCTTAATTGTGACTGACGTTACAGTCGTTCT